TATTCAGTGATTATAAAATGAATATCCTGTAATATTATATTATATTTCTACAATAGATCTCTAACTTTTAACACTGATTTAAAGAAATGAGATATAACAGGGATGAAGTGAGCTTAGAGGTGCTGAGAAACATGGTAATGAAGGAAATAAAGTGCAAGTCGTCAAATTACTGATATTAATAATCAAATATATTGTATTGTCAATATCGGCTGAATACATACAGAAATGTCAAGATGATGTATTTATGATTTATGTTCACTATTCATAGTTTTCATTAAAGACCACTGACACTTTAAGCTGAATATATTAACTTAATTAATTAATGTAAAATGTCATTAATATATAAAAAAAATGCTGGTTATCAATTCTTGCGTCGTGTGCTGGCTGCATGTACATTCGTTCTCTCCCTTCGTCCCAATTTCAGGTTTACAAAGTTACAGTTCTTCGCTTGGCGGGTGTATGACGTGGCCATATTCTTATCATCTACGAGAAGTTGAGTCCTGAACATGGTCTGGAAACGTTAAGACGGACTGAGACCCCCCCCCCACCCCCCCGCTCTCCTGGTGCTACACAAGCAGGACCAGTTGGGACAGGCCGCTCACATTATTAACCAGGACCAAGTCCCAAAACCGTAATCTCCTTAAAAACAAAAAAACCCTGCTTCTAGGTTCTAATATCTACCTCTAAGTGATCTTCAGAGAGACAGAAAGGGATCGGTTTGTTCTTGATTTTATTTGTACCACAGCTATTACAGGTGGAAGCAGCCTCCAGATTGCAGTCAGTGCTTCACACTTGCTCTTTTTGTTTTCTTAAATTCCAGAAAAAGTGGTGGAAGTTCCTTTAAAGAGCTCAGGGACAGGAACACGGGGGCATTTTATTCAGATCTGATTGACTAGAGATGCTGTACGTACTTAATCAAAGAGAAACCAATGCCCAATGACCCAACATAATGTGATTTAGACACTGTAGAAAGAGAAATTATACTTGAAATGAGAGATTATACCAGAGATCCAACAAAGCCCTTTATATGCAAGTATTTGGTTTTTTTTCTTCTCAAAACCATTATTTCATTCACTACCTTAGAAAATAATTTATATTTAGATGTCACTTGCTGCAGAGGCTACAGGTACATTAACAAACTAAATGCCTTAAATCACATTAATCAAGATTGTAGGACCCACACAGATGCAGTTTTCTTTTTTAATTATGTTGCATATGACTTATTTAGAAATGCACATTTTCTTTTTTCAGTGGTCGACTTTTAAGTTGCAGAGATGTTTAAAATCAATTAACGTTAGTAGATTGTTGCTATAAAGAAAAGAAAGTGCCTATGTATGATATGATTCATTTTGAGATCTTTTGAGATTAAGAATGATTGAATGTTGTGTGTACTTAGTCACTACAGATATTATTTTTTATTAATGTACTCAGTTGCACACACATGTTTAATTCCAGGCAGTTTCTGAGGTATTTCTGAGATGTTCATATCTTCTTTTTTGCTTTCAAATTGCCTTTATTGCATAGAAATGCCTCTAACAGTGCCTTCCATCTCATTCCATGGAGGGTGAGCGGGTTAGGAAAGCTTTTTATTGCAGATTTGTGTTTAATTTTAACTATGTAACATGAATTGCCTTTACTTTTTACACCAACTGATGACCCAATGTGCCAACTGCTGCTCATATATTTATATATATATATATATATATATAATGCCATGTTGTAGACTGGAGTTTGTGGCTTGTGAGTCCGGCACGTTTACATGCAATGCAATTAATTTGTTTTTACAAATGTTTACTTTTGAGCTTTAAACCCGACCTAACGTACACATAGACCAATGTCATAGCTATTTAAATATCTGTGGAGTTTTCATATTAACACATGACAGATTTCCAGTAGTTAAAGCTGCAGGAGGGAACTTTTATAAACAAAATAACTTCACTGTTTTCTGACAGGAGAACATGAGACAGATAATATCAGGTTCCTCTGGCTCCTCCTGGTGCTCCTAATGGGATTTACAAGAATGACACTCGCTAATAAACTATCTTTCATGGCTCTGATTGGTTGTTTTTGTTCATATGCAGTGAATTTTTATAAATGCCGTTAGGAGTGTTTCACAGATTATCTGTCTCATGTACTTCTGTCAGGTATGGAAGTCCATTTCTGTTAATGAGATGGGGGGAATAAAGTAATTATAATGAGAAACTTTCTCAAAATTATAACTTAGTATCTCAAATAATGAGAAACTTTATCGAAATAATATCTTAATATCAATATTATGAGAAAGTTTTTCATTAAAATGACGTATCTTATCCGTCACATTGGTGGAAAAGTGCTTCCATAGTTCAGGATATAGTGAAAGTTACAGCAAATATGAGAAAAAGTTGTTTTTTCTAAAATAAAAATGACCTGCTGCAGCTTTAAAATGAAGTATAGTGCCTTCAGTCTAATTAACTCTAACACACACTGTATGTTCACAAATAAAACCTTGGATCAGACTGCTAATATTGTCGTGTTCATTTCAGCTATTATCCTGCTGTGATTTGTGTTTACTTTAAGGATTATAATCCTCATGGTTTGTGTGTGGACCTTCGGCTCCTCCTCAGGACGAATGAAAGAAGATGTTTGTTGTTGTCTTTCTAATTCATGTTTCCGTTCACATGCAGTGGGTTCTTCTGCTAAAGTACTATTATGAGTTCTAGAAAAATCATTATCTATTATTTGATTATCTGTCTCATGTATTACTATCAGTGTGATAAAAAAAAAAGGTCCAGTTAGTCATTATAATGAGAAACTATACTAATAATGACTTAATATCTTAAAATAATGAGAAACTTTCTTAATATTGTGACTTAGTATCTCAAAATAATGACATAGTATCTCAATGTAGAGAAACTTTCTCAAATCTTTGGCTTAGTATCTTAAATATACCTCAATATTTTGATGTAGTATCTCTAAATAATTACCAAATATCCTAAAGTAATGACTTAATATTGCAAAATATAGAGAAACCTTCTCAATTTTTTGATCCTAGTATCTCAATATATTTCACAATTAAGATTCTAAGTCGATATTTTGACTTAATATCTCGAAATCAATATTTTTACTTAATATCTCAATATAGAGAACATTTCTCAAATCTTTGGCTCAATATCTTAAATTAATGACTAAGTACCTCAATATTTTGATGTAGTATCTCTAAATAATTACCTAATATCTTAAAATAATGACTTAAAATCACAAAATATAGAGAAACCTCCTTAGTACTCGGACCTAGTATCTCAAAATATTTCTCAATTAAGATTCCAAATCAATATTTTTACTTAATATCTCACTATAGAGAAACTTTCTCAAATCTTTGGCTTAGTATCTTAAATATACCTCAATATTTTGTTGTAGTATCTCCAAATAATGGCCTAATATCTTAAAATAATGACTTAAAATCACAAAATATAGAGAAACCTTCTCAATTTCTGATCTTAGTATCTCAATATATTTCTAGATTAACATCCTAAATCAATATTTTTAGACAATATCTCATTATAATGCCACACACACTGATTTCTGTGTGTGTGTGTGTGTCCCCACTACTTCGCGTTTTGCCTTGTGACCTTGCTGCGCGCTGTTCGGGGACGTCGCGCTCGCCGTAGTTGTCAGTGCGGATTTCGGGCTCCTCCTCGGGACGAAGCGAAGGAAGATGTTTGTGTGGCAGCATTAAGGCTTGAACATCAAACCACCACCATGTCTGTGAGCGGAGGAGGAAGCCGAGGCTTTTACTTTAACACCGTGCTGTCCCTGGCTCGCTCGCTCGCGGCTCATCAGCAGGCGCCCATAGAGAAGGTAACGATGCTAACGACGAGCTAACACCTGTCCGACCGCCTGAGACTCCGAGGCCCGTCTTTAACTTGTCCTCCTCACCTGTGTGGCTTTCACTGAGGGGTTGTAAACACGCCGGTTTGTTTTTTGAGTCTGTCGCTATGCGTGAGTGTGTGATTTTAGAGGTTTGTTGTGGTTTAGGAGCGACTTTAAAGCCAGCTGACGTGAGCTGTTTTGAGTTAATCTCTTGTTGTTAAAGACTTTACTAACAGTGACTCCAGTATCTGCAGGTTCCTTCTTATATGCTTATGAACTTACTAATAATGACTTAATATCTCAGTGTAGAGACACTTTCTCAAATCTTTGGCTTAGTATCTTAAATATACCTCAATATTTTGATGTAGTATCTCCAAATAATGACTTAAAATCTTAAAATAATGACTTAAATATCTTAAAATAATGACTTAAAATAACAAAATATAGAGAAACCTTCTCAATTTTTGATCTTAGTATCTCAATATATTTCTAAATTAAGATTCTAAGTCAATATTTTGACTTAATATCTCACTATAGAGAAACTTTGGCTCAATATCTTAAAGTAATGACTAAGTACCTCAATATTTTGATGTAATATCTCTAAATAATTACTTAAATATCTTAAAATAATGACTTAATATCGCAAAATAATGACTTAAATATCTTAAAATAATGACTTAAAATCACAAAATATAGAGAAACTTTCTCAATTTTTGATCTTAGTATCTCAATATATTTCTAAATTAAGATTCTAAGTCAATATTTTGACTCAATATCTCACTATAGAGAAACTTTCCTAAATCTTTGGCTCAATATCTTAAAGTAATGACTAAGTACCTCGATATTTTGATGTAGTATCTCTAAATAATGACCTAATATCTTAAAATAATGACTTAATATCGCAAAATACAGAGAAACTTTCTCAAATCTTTGGCTTAATATCTTAAATGAAGTGTATAGACTGTATTTTATTATCGTCTGTCATTCGTACAGGATGGCTCAGTCTCAGTTAGACTCATAAATAGTTATAATAACTCAGATCTTCATGTTTTATTCTGTAAACAAATGAATAAGAAGTTTTATAAAATGGCAAACTAAAGGCTGTATTCAGTGTTATTCAGTTATCTGTGCACATTTGACTGCACCACCCACAATCCACTAAACATTCCCAAATAATGGAGCCATATATAGTTCAAATGAGTCAGTCAGCAGACAATTAAGTGGCAGATAATCTTAATAATTATAATTTAAGCAGAAAATGTGAAGTAAAATGTAGAAATAGTCTCTTTAATGTGAGAATTTGCTGCTTATATTATAGTAAAATTTATAGTTTTGGGCTGTTGGTGCGACAAAATCATGCGTCATGGGTGTTTTTTTCACAGTTTTCTAATATTTCATACACCAAACAATTGATTAATCACTGAATATATATTAATAGAATTGATCTAATGTCTGGTTTAAGGTTTAATGTGAAGTTAATGAATGAAATGAATGTTTGGATGCAATAAGTATCTAAAGCACAGAAGCTGCAAGTGTCTGATAAAGGTAAAGTATATAGAATAAAATACATTATAATGAAGTACTGTTTAGCTGCAGACTCAAATAAATGTCACATTCTGATTTTAATGGTTTTTATCAGTGAAAATAAAACCTATTAATCCTGAATCATATTGAAATTGCTATAATAATTTGTGTCCTGCAGCGTTTGATATCAAGTCCTATATCAATCAACCATCACCCGTTAAATTCAATTATTGTGATTTGCACTTTCAGAAAAGTGCTGGCATCCATAGATTCACATCCAGTCCGTAAACAATAATCAATAAATTAAAACGCACTGCGCGCTGATGCGGCGTGGATCGATATATCTTTGGACTAACTGCAGCGTTTTCCGAGCGTCGGTCGAGCAGTCGATGGTAAATGAGGCTGAATCACCAACGGCAGCTGTGCGCCTCTTTCTTTCTGCTCCTTTTATCACCTTTAATATTGTATATGAATAAATAAAGTATATTTGTGTTTATGTTTAGTTTAAATAAAGTAGGTTTTCTTTATATGACCTTAAACTAACTGACACACAGAGAGAGGCAGCTGGTTTGTGAGTCTTTAGACACAATACAGTTGTTTTCACAGAGGAAAACAAGAAGTAAATATAATAAAGCTGCTGTTTATAGTGTACAGCTTCATTGTATTTGATGGGAACAGGAACTGGTTGAACTGGCTGTGTGATTCCCATTGAGATGTTTAACTGTTGTTTGTTGGTACAAGTCAGGACACGCAGTCACAACAGGGAGGCGACCGACTTTAACTCCCACTGAAGAGTCAAACATGGTCGCCGCCTGAAACGGGATTACATCTCCCAAAAACATGTCAGATGAAGGTATGAAATGTTAAATGGCTTTTGAAGTGGTTGACTCACTCAGGAGGTCAGGATTACAGCGGGGCCACAAAGCAGCTTCTGGAGTGCTTTAAAGGAGCAGGCAGAGTTTGAGTCCACATTAAAAACCCCACCGAGATTGAAGACGTGTTAACCCTAAAGAGGAAGTGTGTGCTGTGATGAAAGAGCTGTGGTTGTTGTGTAAGTGCAGTCCAGTCCTGATTTCCTTCTGCCTTTTTGTGTCTGTGTAAGCTCCTCTGACAGTGTGATTGTTATAAAGGGAGGAGGAGGATTTAAATGGTTTGATTCATGTGCTGTTATTTTCTCCGTATATAAATTATTATTTATTGTGTTTATCTTTTGTGCAGCACTTTGGAAACCTTCGTGCTATCTAAATAAAGTGGATTGGATAAATTCAACCTTTAGTCTGTTCCAGAGGATCTAGAAACCCCAGATTGATACCCATCAGGCCCTCAGACTCGTGTTTGATAAGCTGTAGTCTCCCTGTGTCATAAATCTAATATACTGTAGATTAACCTACGAACAGAATATGAATATACTTTATCTCATTGGGTAACTTCTAATCAATAAAACACTCCAGGTTGAGAACCACTAGTCGGTAAAAATGTAAAAACTGTAAAATAATTGCTGTTATAATTCCCCAGAACCCAAATAAACACATTGACAGTGGTTGTCTCTAAAACCAACAGATATTCAGTCAACTATCAAACTAGACAAAGAACAGCAGCAGATCCTCACGTTTCAGCTCCTCGGCTCCAGCAAATGTTTCAATATGGATGAACTAACTGCTCTATGGACGGAGCGCTGGAGCTGTGAGTGTTAGCACAGAGTTCTCATTGTTTGTGTAATAATATTACATAATAAAGTGTCAGAACAGCCTGTTATTGGCTTTAAAATCAGCTCGTGTGATGGAAGAATCCTGTTGGTTCGACTCCAAATATGTTTCCATGAGCACGACTCACTGAAGGGCTCCAAACACAGCAGGTTGAGCTTTGGATTGCGACCCAGATCTCTCTTTTTTTGCCTTTTTTTATTGCTCTTTTGGCACTGAAACACATAACAGAGGTGTGGTTATCTGTAGCCTTTTTAAATCCAGTGTTTTTTGAAGCAGGGTTGTAATGAGGTACTTACAGGAGGAGTGCAGGAGTACCAGCATGGAACAACAATGCATTGCTGTGAAAGGGGGCAGCAACAAAACATAAAAATCAATATCGGTTTAAGCTACGAGCGTCAGACAGCCTTTATATCGCTCTCTCCAAAGCCACCAGACTCCTGTGACACAAACAGCCATTTTACATCACAATACGAGAGTGGCTGGCGAGTGTTGTAAAATAAAGGTAAAATCATTGGTGATGGAAGTAAATTATGAAAACCAGTAGTTCATAAAAATGTTGAAACTTAATGAATTCTAACGTGTGTACTTTGGTATTTATGGCAGGAAAGAGGTTTAGTCCTTTTTTTTTTAAATCCATTTTATCCTCTAAGTAGTTTCAAAATTTGTATAAAATGTTAATTTCTCTTAAAAAGTCTTTAAATTATTGTGGCCATTCAGATGACTGCAAAAATGACCTCTGCTTAAATATCATTTTATAGATTTTTCATATTATATTCAAAACTGTACAATGAACCCAATCAGTGAACTCGAGAAGTTTGTGTAAAATGTGAAGATTTGGATGAATTCCTGTTAATATTGATCAGAGATGAGTTTTTCTGATGTTTTTTAGCAACTTTTATACAATTCTATACTTTCTATCAATCCAAACTATCTAAACTTAAAGAAAAATGCAATTATATTTAGTTGTCTTCAAAGAAACGAGCCAAACTCCGACTGACTCCCAGCATCCCCGGTGTAAATTCACTGCTGACTGGAGGCTTTGAGGAGAGCACAGATGGATATATAACAGCTTCAGTTCCCCGTTGAAACATTTCCATAATCTTTCTCCAAACTGGGGATGTGCCAGCTCCCGTCTACTGTAGATAATACACTGACTATGAATAAGCACTGCAACCCACTTCCAAAAATCAGAATTAATCTTTTAAGTGAGTCCCTTTAGCATTAGGCTAATTAATGGCAGAGGCAGGTTTGGCTCGATTCCTGAAGCACATTTAGGCCAACGAAATCATTAACGCTAATGGAACCAGACATGATTGATTGATGTGTCTGTTTTTAAGCCCCCTGTGGGAAAGTAAATTCTCTGCTTTTAAAACATTGTGTTATCCAAGTAGCTTACAGCTCATCTTAATGGGAACAGCAGCAGTGGATGTGATCCATGTGCCGTCTCTCTCGCAGGTCCAGAAGCTACAATGCATGTGCCCCGTGGACTTCAGAGGAGTCTTCCAGCTGGATGAGAGGAGGAGGGACGCCGTCATTGCACTGGGAATCTTTCTAGTAGAGTCGAACCTGCAGGTAAACACGGTCTCTGCTAACCTCTCCTCTCCATGATAGCTTTGTGCTAACAGTGAGTTTATAAGAATACTAAATGAAATGCTTCTGTTGCAGCACAAAGATGCTATCGTCCCCTACCTTCTCGGGTTGCTCAAAGGGCTTCCTAAAGTTCAGTGGATTGAAGAAAGCTCAGAACGCAAAGGACGAGGTAACTGCACAGATTCTACTATTATGTCTGAGAAATGTCAAATGATATTCACTATCATTTTCTGTCATTCAATTGGCTTTGAAGATGGATGTAAGGTGCAGTTTTTTTAATATTTAGTGAACTTCCTGTCTTGCAGAGACTCTTCCTGTCGCAGAGATCTTCAGCTTTTCTCTCGTAACACTACTGTCAGACGTTGCCCAACGTGATGAGACCCTACGAGGACAGGTGTGTGTGTGTGTGTGTG